AACACAACTGAATGTGGCTTGGGTGGGGCCACGAGTTGGGGGAGGTGGAGTTTCAGGTAATCTGGAAGGAGTGACCAGTTACCCAGTTTTTGATGCCTTCTCAGGTATGGCAGTGCTGCGTCTGCACACGGGGATGGGGGTGGGCTCAACAAAGGAACAATGGGTACCACCAGCACTTCTGCCCAATAGAAAGCTTCACTTCTGGCCCTCACTCTGACAACTCAGTGTCCCCTTGTCTCTGGTGACCCCAGAGTAGCTGACCTGGTGCTGGTGCTCAGAGCAAACAGGTCCGTCACTGCGGAAGTCTGCTCACAGACATGGTCCCTGTAAGAAGCATCTACAGCTGCCAGCTACAGCTGCAGTAGCTTCTTTCTCATTCACCTGCTGGTGACTGGGCAGCCTCACATCTTCATCCCTTCTTACCTCCAACTGTTGCAGGGTGACTTCTTATTTCTCTCCCTAGTTGTAGGGCTTCTGCTCATCTAGACTCCCAGGTGACTCTGCTTGCCATTTGCTGTGTTTCCATCTCAACTTTGATGCGGTCGCAAGAGGGGATGAGCGAAGCTTCTATCATTACACTGTTTTGCCCAGTTCCTTCCATCGCCATCCACTTTTAAATCATGCTTTACCTTGAGTCATGCTAGCATCTATGTTAATACAACTTCTACCTACTGCTCCTAGTTTTGTTCCTTACCCAGTGTCTTGTCCATATCTTTCAAATATTCAGAGTTTTGTTTTTTTCTCTTCAGCTCTTCTTCTTTTATGGTTTTCAGACCCTTCAGCAAGTTGACTCCATGGCACTGCTCACACTCCAATTTGTCTAAGTCCCTTTAAAATGAGATCCAGGAACTAGACTCTGAGCTATGTGAGACTTTATCATATTACCACCATCTAAAGATCAAACACATTAGCTCTTCTCTCTATGCTATCCTCATTACCCATTACCACAAGAATAGGCTGCAGCTGTTCAATAAGCATTACTTGGTGACGATAAAATGTTGTGGTAGGGAAACATATGGCAAATCTGTTCAGCCAGTCCACAACCATACAGCTGAGTTTACAAAACTGTATAGTCAAGTAACTTTAAATTTGAATCTGTAAAAGCCTACCTAGATAAATCAAACACAAGAGCTTCTTGCACTTCACTGCCCATAGAGCTGGGATAGCTGACCAGGAGTTTGTATGCAATGATTTCAAATCTAGAGGTTTAAATTATCATGAATTATAATGGACCATCTGTATCAGTTCAGAACTATTTCAAGAGAGGATAACTCTGTTTATATAATCATTAATATATTATAGATACATTATATAAGTGTATATATTACTATTGATACCATATAATATCTCGAAATGATCACTATAGCTATGCCACTAGTAGATTAATATGAACTGAGAAACTCTGGCAGAATGTGGTTCTTTCTTCACATAACTGTGGGGATGTTGGCTTGGAAATACGAACAACCATGCAACTCCTGAAAAAGGGCATCTGCATGTCTAACATGCTGAAGCATTCCTCCCACCTCCCTATGGTAGATAAACCATACATGGCAGTCACACTTGGTCTCAGTAATCTGGCCATTCTGAAACTAGATTCCCTTCCTACGTACACTCCCATTTCCTGCTATCTCATGTCCAAATAAAATTTCATCAATTATAAATTACCACATTCAGGTTCTCACTGTAGAATCAGAAACCTGGGTAGGTCACTCTGAGAAGGCCTCTTACAAGAGGATTATTGGGGGAAAAAAGTATAGATATAGAGAGTGGTCAGATATGTTTTTCTATAGAAAAAAATTGTTAAGCAGAAACACAGAAGGATTTGTTTATTAATAAAGTGGCCATGGAAGTTTATAGTTTTATTATTTCTTTATAGAAAAAAGAGAAAATTTACAAGATGCAAAGGTCTCATACAATACATAATCACTGATGATTGTTCTCTTTACACCTTAACATGGGCCCTGGATTGGCCAGTGCTGGGAAAAACATGGACAGCATGAATGCATTTGAGACCCATCATGGACACGCAGAAATAAACCACACTGTGAAAGGAGAACTTGATGACAAATGATGTTGTGCCAGCCTGTTCCAAATGCAAGCCAAGATATCATAGGAACCAACAATACCTTCCTGTGGGGGAGGCACAGGGGTATGCCCTGCTGCCATGTGCATGGGGCACACTCCCCTGTACTAGCAGCACTCTTCCTCTATTAGCAACAACAGAAAATGGTAACGTTCCTTTGGTGGTTTTGTTATTGTTGTTGTTGTTGTTTTGCAGGGCTCTTCCGGTTCTCAATTTCTTACTTCTGTCTTCCTTTTAATGACTCAGTTCCAAATTCTTAAAGCAGTGTAGGTACTTAGCATCTTTCAGGAATTTTTCAGTATCCAGTTCTGCCCAATGATAATGCACTAAAAAGAACAAAGATAAGACACATAGCTCAGAAGGGTCCTGAAATTTGTTTTCAAATCCTATTAAAAATATGACCAAGCATAACAAAATAGCCAAAGATACCCTTTTCCAAGTTTATATAATGACAATAGCCTGACAATGTTTCACTTTACTGTGAAAAATCTGCCATGTTGTTATGTATAATTTCAAATGCATTCTCTCCAAAGTTTCTAATTTATTAGAACTTTATTCTTAGCGATCATAAAGACACCAAAACAAATATCCGGGAATTAAATGATACACTTTTAAATGGCCTCTGTAACAAAAAGAAGTTACAAGACAAATAAGAAAACATATCAAAGTAAATGAAAATGAAAATGCAACAGAGTGACACTGAGATATTCACGTAAGGCAGTGCTCAGAAGGAAATTTACAGCATTAAATACGTCTACTAGAAAAGAAGCTTCCAAGTCAATAATCTGGGTTTTCACCTTAAGGTACTAAAAGAACAAAAGTATAATGAAACCAAAACAAATAAGTAGGGGGAAAATATAGACAATAACAGAGAAAAATGAAATTTCAAACAGAAAAAAAGAAGAGAAAATAAATTAAAAGGTCAATAAAACTGATGAACTTACCAAGAAAAAAAGACATGTTATGAATATAAAGAGTCAAAAAGGCAACAATAGTACAGATTTATAGATATTAAAAGGATAAAAAATATATATCACAAACAACTTTATGTCCACAAATTAGACAACGTAGATGAAATGGACAAATTCCTTTAAAAAAATACAAAGCTTCATTTCCAAATACTTTTAACAATAAGGGAGGCAGAGGATTGGGAATACTAAAGAAAGCATAGGGACAGGGAATAAACAAAACACTTGTTCTTGGGATATTTTCAGTACTGCTCAAGGGATGGTAGGTTCTCCTGTATAAAATGTTCAAGTGTCTCAAGTTTCTCTCTGTAATTCTTAGGTTACAACAAAAACAAGCTGGTCTTGCTAAGATTTGTGAGGTAGGCATATGTCACCCAAACATTTAACTAAATCCTAAACTTACCAGAGCAGTTTCTGTTCCCTCAGATATAATCTCTAACTGGAATTCCTGACATTTCAAGTCAAGATGGCAGAATAGGTAAATGCTGTGTTCTTCTCTTCCCATAACCACATCAAAATTACAATGAAGTTACACCACAACCATCATTGAGAACCACCTGAAGTCTAGCTGAATAGAAGTCCTACAGCTAAAAATATAAAGAGGAAGCCATGTTGAGACTGGTAAAAGGGGCAGAGACACAGAATGGGCTGGTCCCTTACGTGCGACAAACAAGAATGGGGATGGATATTTCCATGCGGAGGTCCCCCCTGAGGAGCGAGGGGTCCCAGTACCACACTGGGTTCTCCAGCCTAGGTATCCAGGGCCAGGAAGTGAAGTCTCCACAACTTCTGACTGTAAAAACCAGCAGAGATTGTGGCTGAGACAGCAGGCAGCTGGAGACCCAGGTGCCTTCTTAAAAGGCCCATGCATGAACTTACGCACTGACAGACTCACTTTCTCTGAGCTCCAGCACTAGAGCAGTAGCTCGAAAGGCACCAGAGATATACAGTTAGGAACTGAATTATCTGGTTTCAGGGCAAAAGCGGGAGAGGAAGCTGGCAGACAACACTGTTCAGAACTGGCAGGTGGGCGCCTTTGTAGTGCTACTGAGCCCTCCTCATACCCAGCCTGCAGGTGCAGGTAGGCACCAAGTCTGAGTCTCCAACAACCTGGCTAACACCATTCACTCTGCACTGGTGATTCCCTGAGACCCTGCCCCACCCAACTTGCAGGCTGACCCAAGGCTCTTCCAGCTACTTTTCCATCCAAATGGCCTAACTCAGCTTATGCTGTAGACTTTCCTAAAATCTCTCAAAGGACCACAAACCTCAAATAAACAGTGTCTGGCCGTGGTATGCAATGTAGCTTATGCTAAGCGGCACCAACCCTGGCACTAGTGGCAGCCAGCCTAGTTTGCAGCTTAGCCTATCCCAGGCACCTCCAAGCCCAGCACAAGTGACAACCATCTGCAAATCAATCTGTAGCTCATACTAGGTGGTCCCAGGCAGGGCACAGGCTGTGGCTGACCTTAGCATGCATCACAAGAGGCCCTGGAACCAAGACATTGGATGGCGGGCTTCAGATCACACCAGAGTATCACTCAACTACCTCCACAAATGACACACCCAAAGGGATGACTAGCAGGAACCATAGCCCCGTTAAAGTGAATCCTATTCCACGTGGTCAGCCCCTGGATAATAGCTCGTCCACTGTCGTCACAGCCATTCCTCACATCCAGTCAGCCTGAGAATTAATCTACTGACATGCCAACAGTAATCAAGACTCAACTACAAAGACAGGAGGGCACACACAACTCATACAAGGGACACATCTGGAACAGCCAACTCAGGTGACGAGGGAGACTGTGCCACTGGGCCCCACAGTATGTAAAACCACTCTTCCAAGACTGGGAGACATAACAGATCTACCTAATACACAGAAACAAACACAAGGAGGCAGCCAAAATGAGGAGACAAAGAAACAAGTCCTAAATGAAAGAAAAGGACAAAACTCTAAAATAAAGAAACACAAAAATAAAGACAAGCAATCTACCAGAGGCAGTTCAAAACACTGGTTATAAAGATGCTCAATAAACTTAGGGGAAGAGTAGATGAACTCACTGAAAACCTAAACAAAAACATAGGAAACATAAAAATGCAGAGAGAAAACATAAAAAAAGAACTTATCATGAATGAAGAATATAATAACTGAAACGAAGACTACATTAGAGGGAATCAACAGTAGATTAAATGAAGCAGAGGATCGAATCAGTGATTTGGGAGACAAGGAAGCAAAAAACATCCAACTGGAACGGCAACAACAAAGAATTTTAAAAAATGAGGATAGTTTAAAGGATCTCTGGGACAACATCAATCTTACCAACATTCACATCATAGAGGTACAAGAAAAGGAAGAGAAAGAGCAAGGAATTGAAAACGTATTTGAAGATATGATGGAAAACTTCCCTGACCTGGTGAAGGAAATAGAAATACAAGTCTAGGAAGCACATAGAGTCCCAAACAAGATGAGCCCAAAGAGGCCCACACCAAGACACAGCGTAATTAAAATGTCAAAGGTTAAAGACAAAAAGAGATTCTTAAAAGCAACAAGAAAAGCAGTTAGTTACTCACAAGGGATATCCCATAAGACTGTCAGCTGATTTCTCAAGAACTTTGCAGGCCAGAAGGGACTGGCACGAAATATCCAAGGTGATGAAAAGCAAGCACCTATAACCAAGATTACTCTACCCAGCTAAGCTTTTGAATGACAGATAAAGAGCTTCCCAGGCAAGAAAAAGCTAAAGGGAGTTCACAACCACAAACCAGTATTATAAAAATTATTAAAGGGACTTCTTTAAGAAGGAGGGGGAAAAAAGATAAAAAATATGAATAACAAAACGGCAATAACTACATACCTATCAATAATTACTTTAAATGTAAATGAATTAAATGCTCAAATAAAAAGAGATAAGGTGGCTGAAGAGATAAGGAAACAAGACCCATACATATGCTGCCTACTAGAGACCCACTTTAGATCCAAAGACACACACAAACTGAAAGTAAAGGGATAGAAAAAGATATTTCATGCGAACAGAAACAATCAAACAAAAAAGCTAGGGTAGCAATACTTACATCAGACAAAATTGATTTTAAAACAAAGGCAGTAACAAAGACAAAGAAGTACCCTGCAATTCCACTTCTGGCTATTTATCTGAAGAAACCAAAAACACTAATTCAAAAAGACATGCATCCCTATGCTCACTGCAGCATTATTTACAGTAGCCAAGATATGAAAGCAACCTAAGTATCTGCCAATAGATGAATGGATAAAGAAGAGGTGGTATGTATATACAGTGGACTATTACTCAGCCATAAAAAATAAAACCTTACCATTTATGACAATATGAATAGACCTAGAGGGTATTATGCTAAGTGAAATAAGTCAAGACAGAGAAAGACAACTACCATATGATTTCACTGATATATGGAAACTAAAGAAAACAAATAAACAAACAGAAAAAACTCAGATACAGAGAACTTGATGGTTGCCAGATGAGAGAGGGTTGGGAGAACAGGTGAAAAAGGAAGAGAGATTAAGATGTACAAATTGCCAGTTATGAAAAGTCACAGGGATGTAAAGTATAGCACAGGGGATATAGTCAATAATATTGGAATAACTATGTATGGTATCAGATGGGTACTAGACTTATAGGGATGATCACTTTGTGTAAGTTATATAAATCTCTAATCACTTTGTTGTACACCTGAAACTAATATAATATTGTATATCAACTCTAAATGAAAAAACTTTTAATTATTTTTTTTAAATTTTAGGTAGGCTCACACCTAGTCCAGCAGGGCTCGCCAACTTTTCTGCCGCGGCAACCCAAAGCAGGCTGGACAGTGGTGCACTGGTATGCTCCCTGTAAAGCTTGGACAGACCCATGCTCGCCCAGCCGCCGCTCACCAAGACTGGAAATTCCACCGACCCACTACCCTGCCTCCAGGGTGGCCTTGGTGTTGATGACAGAGAACTCCAACAACTACCAGCAAGGGACTCTCCCTCACAACGCGTTTTTAGTGCAGACAGCCAAACAAGGCAGCAAGGAGGATATTCTAGGAAGAGGACATAAGAGGACATAAGTATCGCCTTATGTTTTCTGTGGAAGAAATTATTCAAAAACAATAGCAGCGAACTGTACAGCTGAAGTGCTTTACCCTCCAATAGGACAAGATACTGCACCAGAAGTCAACTTCACATTTAAAAGAAAAATTGGAAAGAATCCAGATGCAGAAGATAACACATTCTGTCAAAGACTCAAGACCATGAAGAAACAACTAGAAGCACGAAATATTCGACAGTTTTGGAAATGTATCTCCAGAAATGAAGCCAGTTTGACATTTAGCCTGGGTTGCCT